AATATACATCTTTGAGAGACAAGAGAGAAAGTCATAAAAATCCCATGAGTCTGGCAGAGAAGCAAGAAGGACTGGAATCAAGATCATTCCATTTATCAATTACTCAAGATGGTAAGATAGCCACTTATAAAGTTCACAGGTACAGGTATGGTTGTGAATGATTTATATGCTTGATTCATATCTTAAAGAAATTCATTCTACACTAACCTTTACTCAGGGACGAGCCAAGGGCTAAGTGTGGGGGGTTTTGTTGGCGGCTGTTAAATGCCGATTCTATACCGCCAACATCTGCATAAAGTTCGGATAATAAAACATCCAACATAGTGATAGGTGCTTAATCTCACATATTCCATAAGTGTTGGTATATATTTGTATGCAGACGACAAACCCCGATGTTGGGAGGAAAATCAGACTACAGTGAGGAGATTCACGTATCCATATAAGGAAGGGTTGTGAACTTCATCCAAACACCAGTAAATCAACCCAAAACTCCGAGAAATGGATAGAGGAGGTCCAGGGGAGAAGATGGGCCAAGAGCCAGGCCAGATGGGCCTAGCCCAGGTTCGGCCGAACCACAATCTCAGCCATCCAGGCTGGGGTTTGGCGTGGACGCTCCAGATCACTCCCTAATGGCGGTTGTGGGGCATTTCGGACATTTTCCCTTCGCCAACCGTCATACCTACCTCTATATAAAGACATCACTCCCTCACTTCACACACACATTTCCAAGCTTGAGCTGAATTATAAGAGGCTCTATTGTACTATATTGTATACTAGAATAGAAAGAGAGTAGAGTGGAAGAAGTCGGAAGAATTCTGGAGTTGTCGGTAATCTTCTCCTATTTCTTTTATTCTGTTTATTACTCTGAATTCAATATAATATTCTTCTTGAGTAATTTAGATTTATCTTGTGAGAATTATCTCATGGTTAGTTCCTAAATAGCATACGGGATTATTGTTCACTATAATTAACTAAAACATAGTGATTGCTTTGGTGAGTTATAAACACTAAAGTAGATATTAATTGCTTAGACGTGGTGTTTAGGTAATTGTTATCCAATAATTGTTGCGTATCCCACAGTACGTTTGAGGTGGGTGTAGAGGTGGTGACAGCCCTCGAGATCACTTAAGTCCTCCCTGTCCGGGTACATAGTAGAGCGACATCTGGGAACAGCGGGTTGCCAGTGCCTGAAGTATTGCGTTGGGATTGAAGTTAAGCTTTCCTTAGACACTGTTTCTCACTAGTGAATCCTCTCTATCCTGTCCTATCCTTTGCTTGGTGTCCTTGGATGAACCGGAGAAAGATTTGACCACACACGTTCCCTTGGATTCGATACCCTTGGAATACTCCGTAGGGGAAGTGCCATATCGGTATATCCGTGCGCTTGCGGATTTTCTCTGTGACCGTATTAAATACCAACATTCACCTATTATTTATATCGGATCTTTGCACTTGAGCTTGCATACGAGTATATGACACTTGTGATGTTAATGAATACTCAACAAACATATCCATATCTTTCATATGCAACCAGTTGGTCATCAAGTGAAGGATGACAACCGATTTGTTGAGACTAATGTTCAACTTTGAGATGTGAAAAGGAATAGGTCCCACTACGATGCGGCTAATGAATGACACCATGGGTTAATGGTCACCAAGCCAAGGACATCGTCATATTGGCAAGAATGAAGTCAAGCTTGTGATGAGAATAAAGTCTTGACAAAGAATGGTAAAGACCTCGGCATAAACATGGTTCAACCGGATGGTCACAAGTGTTGATCTTGGCTCAAGCATTGACCCCAAGTTGGATGGCGCAAGGCAAAGGTATAATGGAGCTAAGAATCTTTTCTTAGTCTTTTCCCGGTCTTGGTGTTTGGTGTAGACCGGATTTGCTAGATAGACGCCGTACTATCAAGAGGGGTCTATGAAGCGAGCATATGGATGATCTTGCGCCATATTAGTTCATATGCATGTAGGTGTATTTGGTGGGCTTGTCTAGCCAAGTGTGGTGAGTTTTCTCAAGTCCTAAACAAAGAGAGAAGTGGGCAAATCCTATAGGTTTGGGTAGCCTCATGTGGTTATGTCGGGTGGAGTATTCTTTGGAGTGTGAGCCCTTTCTCCCTGATAAAAGTTGTGTTTCTTGGATGAATTTTTCATGGGTTGGATGGCTATTTGAATAAGCTTTACATAGAGTCCAAGAACGTCAAATTCTGAGATCCGAGTCAAGAGATATCGCCGTTTTACTAACTGTTGGTTGTGCTGAAAAGTGACCTACGGTCTGACCGTGGGCCATAGGACGGTCTGACCAAGGATGTTAGCCGGTCTGACCGGCGTGGTAAGGCCGGTCTGACCGTCCCCACTGGTCTGTTGCACTGGTCTGGTTTTTAGTGGCTATACAGAACCACCAGAGCCGCAACCGGTCAGACCGAGCCGACGGCGGTCTGACCGAGCCATGGACGGTCTGACCGGCCACTACACTACGGTCAGACCAGCCAGGTTGAGTGGGCTCAATGATTGCCCTGTAACGGCTAGTTTTCTAGCCGTTACAAAGTAGTCTGGTCTGACCGGCCACTCTATGGCGGTCTGACCGGCAGAGCACAGAGTTGGGGATTTCGACTCCAACGGCTAGTTTTGGTGGTTGGGGGTATATATATACCCATTCCCCAGCAGCAAGGGTAGGTTTTTGGCACTCCATTGCATTATCTTGAACCCAAGAGCTCTCACACCCTTGTGCACTTAGTTTATCTAGTGAGGTGTTGGAGAGTGAGTTAAGCCAATCCAAGTGCATTGCTTCATTGTTAGAGCTACTGTGGCACTTGATCATCCTCGGCAAGCATCCTAGACTTGTTACTCTTGGAGGTTGCCACCTCCTAGACGGCTTGCGGAGGTGTTGCCCGGTGACCTCTCCGAGGAGATTGTGGAGGAGGCCCGGCGCCGGTTGTAAGTGGTTTGGAGTTCACCACCTTCGGAGTGAAGGAAGAACTACCCTAGTAATCGAGGCTTGAGTAGTCCTCTCCGTGGGCCGGCGTGCCCACCCCTTGACGAAGGGGGCGTGCGGTGGCTTCGTGGTTGAGCAGTGGAGTTGGGCTCGCGTCAACGGGGATTAGGAAACCGGCGAGTTTCCGAACCTCGGTGAAAAATCCCTTGTCTCTTGTCTCATTTATTTGTTGCATTTACATTTGAGCAAGTTTACATACTAGAGCTTATTTGTGCTATTATCACCCTAGGCTTGCAAACCTTAACATATGCTAGTTTCTTTGTGCACTTACTTGAGACTAGTTGATTTAGGTTTTGAATTGTGCAAAACCGTTCTGATTTACGCTTCCGCATACAAAACTCGGTTTTAGCAAAAAGTTTTAAAACCGCCTATTCACCCCCCTCTAGTCGGCCTCCTTGATCCTACACCCGTGGTCCACCTCCACTGGTTGTTGGAACGCTGAGAGACGCCTTCCTCAGCGCGGCCTCACCGCTGGTGGAGTTTACACCGCTGCATTGACATGAAGCTCATCTGTGTCGTCCCTTCGGACCACAGCCTTGCTGCTTTCGTCGTCTTCCTCACCGCCCGTGTATCGACACCCTCATCGTCCGCACTGGTCATCTTCAGCCATCGGGATCTTCTTCGACTGCTTCGAGCATCATCGCTGCATTTTTAAGTTGCCACCGTCACCGCTCTAGGCCAGTGGTCTAGCTACGTCTTCATGGCTACCGACATCACCGTTTCAAGTCGTTGGTCCCACTACTTCGCCTTTGTCTTTGTCCAACTTGCCTCATTGCCAATGTCACCGTATCTTTCTCGACTACACTTCGCTCTTCTCTGGCAATCGTGTGTTGCTCTGACAATCCCCCCCTCCACGTCGTTCTCGCGCCGCAACCGTCATGGAGGTCTTCTCTACTAGTCTCCTCCGACATTGGTGTATGATTCATGGTAGTCTCCTATCTCGCCCGCGTGGTATTGGCAACATCGTAGCGTGCATTCGTCCCGAGTTGTCCCCGGGTCTAGCAAACCCGGCATGACGTCTCGTCCTATACGGTTCGACAACATCAACTCTTCGGCGTCATCTTCCTCAATGACTTCCACGAACGCATCACCGTCATCATCTTCAGTACTGCGTTCTAGGCTTCTCGCCCATGACCACATACTCTACGGCGCCCCATGCGCGCCCTGCGGCTAGGCAACCTCGACATCATTGGCTCCCCGACTTTGGCTACATTGACCATGACTACTCTATGCATGGCTTCATTGACCATGGATCCCTCGCACCCTTCGCTTCATCTACATCGACTATGGCACAACGAGCTATCATCCGTATTAAGCACTCTTGTCGGTTTCTTCTCCAGTCAAAGTGTTTGCATTGCTCACGCTTGGACGGCGAGGGTATGTTAGAGTATATGGCAGTTAGAGTCATATTAGGATAGAATTTATTTGTATGGACTCCTTCCATTTCTGTAATCCTTTCTTATCTCCTCGCCATGTACTCCAATATATACCGCCCCCCTGAAGCTCAACGTGTCCAATAAAAACAATATCCTTTCTCCCTATACTATTCAATACATAGGAGTTATATACTGGAGACGGGGAGACTCCCGAGTGTCAAAAACACTTGCCAATGCATGAAAAACACTCCGTAACAGAGTTACCTAGTCCCACACTCAGTAATCTTCGCCCAGGAGTGATTTCTCCTTCCCGTGCATAGTTGGCGTGTGTCCTAGGTACATACACTCCGTAACAGAGTGAGAATTTCCGGGTGCTCTAGGCACTCGGTAACATTTTCACTCCACTGTCCAACAGAATTCCATAGGCAACGGTGACGGCACAGTTGCGTAGTGCAGAGAAAGTTACAGTGTGTTTTTCAATCGGACACACACGGTAAACCTTCTCTTGTTCCCGGGTGTCGACATAGCATGACACACGTTAACTTTCCAAGAAACACACAGCAACAGTGCCGTTGTTAACGTGTGTTCAGTTTAGGACACTGTAAGTTGACACACAGGAACTCTACTTGAGGGCAAAACTAAAATGGGTTTGCTGATACATTTATATTATTTGCTTACACCAGAATAGTAGGAGCTTAATAACACATCATAGGCGATCACACATACAATGGAAGAATGGATTCCAATGCATTGACATCCACGTTCAATTAATCGATTTGACAACAATCTAATGTGAATTACAATAGCAATGCCAATCTCATAGACATCTACAACTGAGATGAAATTTGAATATTACTTCTTAAGGTTAGATAACCAAGGAGGTAGGGAAACGAGAAAAGAGTTGACGAATGGCATTGCAGGCAGTCCGACAACACCTCAAATAATATGAAGATGAGCCAGTTGACTTGCAAATCCTGAGATTGCACAAAAGAGGTAAGATTAATTACGTAGGCGAGCTTTATTTCAAAACAACATTTTATGTACATGTATCTAAAACAGTGATAGCACATTTATATGAAATAGCATTAGCAACAAGTTTATTTAAATGATCTATGCCAATAAGAAAAAAAAACTACCTGAACTTATTCATGCTTTCTTCAAGAATTGTCTAGGTTTGTTACAAAATTCAGGTATAACAACAGTAATTAATATTGGAAACATTTATTGATGGCACATGCCAAGAAGCGCTATGCACCCAAGTAGGGGTGGACGAAAATTCGTAGCTCGTTAGCTCGCTCGACTTGCGACAAGCTCGGCTCGACTCGTTTCATTTTCCTAACGAGCCGAGCTAGCCTTTTAGCTCGTTAGAGATAACGAGCCAGCTCGAGCTGGCTCGCGAGCCGTAACGAGATTTGACAACCCAGCAGGCAACAGCAATCCCAGTCCACAAGCCCACAAGGCCACGAGGCCACAAAGCCCACACAAGACCACGAGGCCCATCAGAGCATGTAAAGTACTAATACTATACCACAAACCCTACCTGCCTCTCGAGAGTCTCGATCTCTCCTTTTCACTCTGCCTATCCGCCGCCAGTCTGCCGCTCATCGCCCAGCATGCACCTCGCAGCCACGCCGCGCTGCCCCTTCCTTCCCGGTCTCTAGTGCTTGCGCCATCGCCACCTCCCTGTCGCGACCATCTGCCAATCTGCGCTGAGGGCTGCAGCACCGTCGGTCGTCGCGGCGTTGCCCCAGCTTGGCCGTCGCGTGCGCTGTCACCTTGGCACCGCAGATTTTTGTGTCGTCGGTCATCGCACTCGAACTCGCCGCTGCGGTCTGCCTGTCTGCCTTGCCGTCGACCGTCGTGCTCGTCCTCGCCGCTGCAGGCCGCTCGTCGGCTCACGTTCCGTTGTCCTAGCTCTTCTAATCTTGATGTCTGATATCTTGCCCTCTCCAGCTCGCGAGCCGAAACGAGCTAGCTCGAGCTACTGACCGAGCCGAGCCGAGCTGCGTTTTCTGCTCGTTTAGATAATGAGCCGAGCCGAGCCAGCTCGTTATCTAAACGAGCTAGAGCAAGTCGAGCCGAGCCGAGCCGAGCTGGCTCGGCATCCATCCCTACACCCAAGTGACTGGTCAAGTGCTCATTTAAGTTCTTTTTTTATACTAGCCAAGTGCTCATGTATTGCACTGAAATCCAAATAAATGATTGCACATGTTCAAAATAGGGGAAAATGTAAAATTGAAATCAAACTTCTCTTATAGAACTTCATGATTCCTGGTATATAATGTAATTTAGGATAAAAATGATTATGATCCTAACTCAAACAATTCTTGCTCATCTATCAAAATTTTATCTTACTATCAACATTTTAATGGGATTTGTATAAACATACTCATCAATTTGCTAGCACCAAAATTGTAAATCATGTAATCAGAAATCCAATGGTATGAGAAGAATCAATTGAGAGAATATACAATAGTAAATTCAATATTCAGACATCATAGTAGACAAGGGAACTTTGCTTGTAGTACCTGCTTCGGTGTCACTCTTCACCTACTAGACAGCACCAATTGATTGAGAATCTACTGCCTTGTCTATCCCAATGCTTGTCATTGTCCTGAAATGAATGCACAGAGTGACCTTAGGTGGGTAAAATTGCTGTGGCTTATTCCATGATAATTAAGTTGGGCCTGTTAATTTATGATTTAACTAAGAAAAAGGAACGCATGCCAACTTGAGAGAAAGAAATGGCTCCCTGGCTTTGCAGTGAGTAGAATGTCTTTGAGGTGATGCCTATGATGGCTTGAAATGGAGCCGAGCTGGATTGGTTCAGTACTGGAACAGACATTGCAATTTTGGAATGACTTCTTGGAACATGGCTCCAATCTTCTGAAAAAAAAAAGAATAATAAATTCACACAAGAAAATTTTAGGCATCTCTAAATCAAACTACAGATATATGCACAGTTGGTTCATACTCCATATGATTTTAGTTGTGTTGTACTGGGTGGCTCATGGAAGCAATCCTCAAGGAAAGGAATTGCATCATATAGATAAAACAAGAATTTTATCTCCACTTGGTTCTGCAAGGATAGTACATAAGTGACAATCTCATCCAAAATTGTTTCTTCTCACTAACAGGGGCTCTAATAAAGTGGAGAATTCGATAATCTGATTCCTCTTGTAAATAGCTACAATTTATCATTATGAAGGATGAAAAAAATAGTTTCATTGTCAGAGATCGGTTTAAACCCTGAAAACAAATGAACACTGAAGAAAGGTGCTATCAAAAAGTACATGACAAGTTGAATATAAGTACTTCCTCCGTTTCACAATGTAAGTCATTCTAGCATTTCCTACATTCATATTGATACTACATTCATATTGATATTAATGAATCTAAATAGATATATATATATCTATATTCATTAACATCAATATGTATGTGGAAAATGCTAGAATGACTTACATCGTGAAACGGATGGAGTATGTCTTAGTCACTAGCTACACTAGAAATCAAATCCGAGCTACCAGTTAGAAGCTCCAAGTTCTCCGCCTGAAACCAAAAAAGCTCCGTAGTTCTATATTTAGAGGGAAAAAAATCATATTCCAGCAAAAAGCCCTTTGCGGCTGTCCAGGTGAAAAGTAAAATGCTTCTCTTCACAAATCAAATCCACAAGGACCCTTCTCCATGCGTGCAGGAGGGAAGAAAGAGACAGAGAGGTGGGGAAGAGAGAGATCATACCATGGAGAGGCAGCTAGCATGTAAGTCTTGCCCGGGTCCTTCTTCACCCAACTTCTTCACTAACCTAAAAAAAAAATCCCCAATTAGAAAAGTCTTGAATGAACCACATAACTTGGGGAATAATCCAGATATTATAGATCTGGGACAAAGGAGCTTGTGGGAAGGAATTGACCAGTGGAGGGATGAGGAGGGCAGCGCGGCCCCTGGCCATCGTCGCACCGGAGCAGCTGCCATGGGTGAGGTGGCGCTGGATCTGGATGCCCCCGGACTCATCGCTGGCAGTCTGGTGGCCCCATTGCTCCGGCGAGCCAAAGGTAGAGGATCCATGTCCAGGATGTTGTGGAGGGAGGGCTAGAGCTGGAGCAGCGGGAGGAGGGGGCACGCCGCCATGCCGCCACGGAGAGGGAAGAGAAGGGGCGCGTGCGTCGGTGCTTTGCCTGGCTGTGGAGTGTAGTGTTGACTGTGGACTGTGAACCTGGCCTGGCTGGGTGGAAGAGATAAGGAGGGGAAATTGTATTCCCGCACGCGCCACAGCAAATTAGAAATTTGGGGCGGGGGATTTTCGTTTTACAAGCACATCAAGCAATTTATCATTATTTTGCTCTACATGGTTTTTTACATAATTGAAGCAATGGAATGTAAGCCAAAGATAGATAACCACGCAACAAAATATACCTGTGGAGTAAGATATTTATACTTTTCTCGAGTAAAGAAAATTTTTATTCTAAAAATAATTTCACTCTAAAGTTAATGTTAGAATATACTTTCCATACTTTTAGAAAGTAAGTTTAGACTGCATCCTTGTTGGAACATGCTGCAAATGACATCAAGTACAGTCAAGCAAAGCGAGAAAGCATGATTAATTAAGTATTAATTATTTTAAACTTAAAAAGTAGATTTATCTGATATTCTAAAGAAAGATTTTTAGAGAATTTTTTTCATAAAATACATCGTTTAGCAGTTTGAAACATATGCTAATAGAAACTGAGGTAAAATCTATATCTTACTTAGAAAAAAAATCAGAAAAGACTCGGGTATAAGACTTCTCTAATTTTAGAGCCAAATAAATTGTTAATGGTTGAAAAGCCAGGGTTGAATGACCAAGCAAACAAGAAAAACATAAGTTTATTTAAATTATGAGTGAATTACACTTTACATCGGGTAAAATGCATATGTTTCATTTTGCATCAGGTTTAGCATAGTGTTGTGTTTTGAAATAATTAAGATTCACTTTACAGTACGATACATCATCGAACCTACAAAATTTTCATGATTATGAAAGAAATATTGTAAAACATGGTATAAGGCAACAAGTTTCGTTTTTATTCAAATTATAAGAAACGCAGGATCGCGTATATGGTGTGGTGCAAAAAAACATGGGACCGACGGGCGACGCAACCCCAGCGTGGGCGCGCGGCACCGCGTCAGTCCCTTTAGCCAGCCAAGCTCATCGTGCGGACCCGCTTGCTGGTCATGCAAGACCGGCGTGCTTGCGTCGCTACAACTGTTGGTCGGTCGCGCGTGGCTGGCTCACGCCACCGCTTGGCCGGTTCGCGATGTTGCGCGTCTGGGGCGTGGGACCGACGTGGTGCCGCGTTTCCCAGCTACGGGACAAACGCGGTGCCGCGTTTCCAAGCTGTGGGACCGTATCGGTCTCACGCGTTCTAGTTGGCCACTGCATTGACATGCTTTCGAGGCGCGGGACCGTCGTGGTGCTGCACTTCCGACCTATGGGAACGTGGCGGTTCCGCTCACCCGTGCTGCAAGAATGATCCGGCTGGTGGCGTACCCACATCCTCGTTGCAGGACGAATATATGTGTGCTAATCCTTCCCCTACATATATATAAACGTAAATTATTAAAACAAATGTATATTCACAAACTTTTTCGGTTGCCATTATCGTCACCTAGCAATACGTTCTAGGGAAAACCTTGTTTGCCAGTACTATGCTTTTTTCTTATTTATCACTCAACTATGGCTATAACTTTCTTTTCTTGTTTCTATTTTTTTAATGTGTGCTTTTGTTATTTATATCTTCATGTTATAAGATATGATTTTATATAGGTACTCCCTCCGTCTCAGAATATAGAAAACTAAGATCGGATGTGACGTATCCTAGGACTACGAATCTGGACATACCCCCTGTCTAGATTCGTAGTACTATGGTACATCACATCTGGTCTTAGGTTGCTATATTCTGCGACGGAGGGAGTAGGTAGCTACGAAAATATTTGTTTTTATTTAAGCTTGGCGATTATTTTGTTCAACCGTGAATAATTTGATTTTTTTATGAACGTGGGGAACTTTGGATTAAACTAGCTCTTGGTGTGAACGGTAATAAGACTATATTGGTTGTTTTTTCTTTCTTTTTTTATGTAACATTCTGCCCCAGGAACGGTGGGCTTAATGGAGAATTTTCTGCTATTTGATTGACATGTGGCCCCAACCATTGACTGCTCCGTTAGTTTAGTTAGAATTACCGAGTTCCTATCCCACATAGCACTGTAGCCCACCGTGATTTCCGTTCCCGTTCGCGCCACGTTGCTGCTAACGAAATACCGTTCGCGCCAACGAAAAGTTCTGGGAAGATTGGTGCGGGCCCCACATTGCCTAGTTTAACCTCAAAACACACCGTACTCTTTACGATAATGCTATTCGTCGGTCGACCGACGGGGGAGAAAAAAAAATCGGGTGCTCCCCCCGTGGCCCCGTTCCCGCGCACAGTGATATTGTTGGCCCCACCATAATATCTGTCCCTACCTGCAACAAATCAACTATATATTTTGAAAACCCTATATTAAAAGAATTTGGTTTATTTTTTTGTTCCACAAAAAATATTGCATATAGTATACTCACAATGTTTCATTATGTATAAATCTAATGTTGCAGTGAGCTAAAATATTCCATTGCAAACAAAAAAAACCCACATATTTTAGAAACCCCTATTAAGGGAAATCGTTTTATTTTTTGTTCCACCGAAAAATGTTTCACCTAGAATTTGTTCCAGAGTAGATTTTCGTGATGTGATTTCTAACTATAGAAAGAACTTATATACAATATACAAAAAAATTTCCTAATCCCTTTTTTCTTCCTTGAATCTTTTAGTTTTAGTCAGTTCATGAAAAAATTTATACTATTAATTTCTTCTTATCCATAATGGATTTACCTGGGCCAATACATGAAATTCTTGTGCTATTTGGGGGATTTGTTCTTCTACTAGGGGGTCTAGGGGTGGTATTACTTACCAACCCAACTTTTTCTGCTTTTTCGCTAGGATTAGTTCTTGTTTGTATATCCTTATTCAATTCCTACTTTGTAGCTGTGGCACAACTTCTTATTTATGTGGGAGCTATAAATGTCTTGATCATATTTGCCGTAATGTTCGTAAATGGCTCAGAATGGTCTAAAGATAAGAATTTTTGGACTATTGGAGATGGGTTCACTTCACTCGTTTGTATAACTATTCCTTTTTCACTAATGACTACTATCCCAGATACGTCATGGTATGGAATTCTTTGGACTACAAGATCAAACCAAATAGTAGAACAGGGTCTCATAAATAACGTTCAACAAATTGGGATTCATTTAGCAACCGATTTTTATCTTCCATTTGAACTCATTTCCATAATTCTTCTAGTTTCTTTAATAGGTGCAATTACTATGGCTCGGCAATAAGAAATACTTAGAATGAGTCAAAATTATAAGAATTTCAAATCTAAAATAAATCACTAAAGAACCACAATTTTGATTTAGTAAAACCCATCTACTGCCAACAAATACCTTCTTTTCTCTTTTGTTGTGTAATTGTTCTATTCTAATTAATTCAATCGGTTCAATTCTTGTCCCCATATTGAAATGAATCGAGATTGATAAGGAGTTAGTTAATGATGTTTGAGCATGTACTTTTTTTGAGTGTCTATTTATTTTCGATTGGTATCTATGGATTGATCACAAGCCGAAACATGGTTAGAGCTCTAATATGCCTTGAACTTATACTGAATTCAATTAATCTAAATCTCGTAACATTTTCTGATCTATTTGATAGCCGCCAATTAAAAGGAGACATTTTCGCAATTTTTGTTATAGCCCTTGCGGCTGCTGAAGCAGCTATTGGATTATCCATTCTTTCTTCCATCCATCGTAATAGGAAATCAACTCGTATCAATCAATCTAATTTTTTGAATAATTAGACATAGAATCTTCTAAACAAAGGGACACATATAATAATAATATGAAATATTAACATGAATACTATTTATTATTTGAGAATATCTATTTTTTGAGTAGGTTATTCCATAGTATTCTTTTTTACTTAGTTGAATTTTTGCAATTCATTGATATTGCAATTTGAATATTGCAATAATTTATATTGAAAAGACGATAGCCAATTTATTGGCTAATTCGAATTCGTATATACAATTCGTATAATTATGATTGTTGAAGCCCAAAATTAAAGTCTCTTGGCTCTTTTCATGCTTTCTCACAAACGGATTAAGAAATATATTGCATTATTTGTTGAAGTTTGGATAAACCATTGCTTCGTCTGGTGTCTACAATACATTTGATTGATATAGTACTAATTTCATTTTGACCAGATCGAAAATTTTTATGTTGAAAAGGAAAATTTATAGATCCAATGTCACATTCCGTAAAAATTTATGATACATGTATAGGATGCACTCAATGTGTACGAGCTTGTCCAACAGATGTATTAGAAATGATACCTTGGGATGGATGTAAAGCCAAGCAAATTGCTTCCGCGCCAAGAACCGAAGATTGTGTGGGTTGTAAGAGATGCGAATCCGCCTGCCCAACAGATTTTTTAAGTGTCCGCGTTTATTTAGGACCTGAGACAACCCGCAGCATGGCTCTATCTTATTGATACGTTACAAAAAATTCCACTTGAATCGTCTGATTCCTCTTTACCGAAGAAGCCTGTGCTCAAAATAATCGAGCACGGGCTTTTCTGGTCAAAACGTATCTTGTCTTTATCACTTTATCATGAGTTCTTTTCCTTGGTTAACAATACTTGTTGTTTTGCCGATATTTGCGAGTTCATTAATTTTCTTTTTACCTCATAGGGGAAACAAAATCGTTAGGTGGTATACTATGTCTATTTGTTTATTAGAATTCCTTCTAATGACTTATGCATTCTGTTATCATTTCCAATTGGAGGATCCCTTAATCCAATTAAAAGAGGATTCTAAATGGATAGATGTCTTCAATTTCCACTGGAGATTGGGAATCGATGGACTTTCATTAGGATCTATTTTATTGACAGGATTTATGACTACTTTAGCTACTTTAGCAGCTTGGCCAGTTACCCGGAATTCCCGATTATTCTATTTCCTGATGCTAGCAATGTATAGCGGTCAAATAGGATTATTTTCTTCGCGAGACCTTTTACTTTTTTTTATCATGTGGGAGTTAGAATTAATTCCTGTTTACTTACTTTTATCCATGTGGGGGGGGGGGAAGAGGCGTCTCTATTCAGCTACAAAGTTTATTTTGTATACTGCAGGTGGTTCCATTTTTTTCTTAATCGGAGTTCTAGGTATGGGCTTATACGGTTCCAACGAACCAAGATTAGATTTGGAAAGATTAATTAATCAATCATACCCTGCAACATTGGAAATACTCTTTTATTTTGGCTTCTTTATTGCTTATGCTGTCAAATTGCCGATTATACCCCTACATACGTGGTTACCAGATACCCATGGGGAAGCGCATTACAGTACATGTATGCTTTTAGCGGGAATCCTATTAAAGATGGGAGCATACGGATTGATTCGGATCAATATGGAATTGTTACCTCATGCTCATTATCTATTTTCCCCTTGGTTAGTAATAATAGGAGCGATGCAAATAATCTATGCAGCTTCAACTTCTCTTGGCCAACGCAATTTCAAAAAAAGAATAGCCTACTCCTCCGTCTCTCACATGGGTTTCATTATTATAGGAATTGGTTCCATAACCAACATTGGACTCAATGGAGCTATTTTACAAATATTATCCCATGGATTTATTGGGGCTACACTTTTTTTCTTAGCGGGAACGGCTTGTGATAGAATGCGCCTTGTTTATCTCGAAGAACTGGGAGGGGTAACTATCCCAATGCCAAAAATTTTTACCATGTTTAGTAGCTTTTCAATGGCTTCTCTTGCCTTACCAGGAATGAGTGGTTTTGTTGCGGAATTAGTAGTATTTTTTGGACTAATTACTAGTCCAAAATTTCTGTTAATGCCAAAAATGCTAATTACTTTTGTAATGGCAATTGGAATGATATTAACTCCTATTTATTTATTATCTATGTTACGACAGATGTTCTATGGATACAAGCTATTTCATGTTCCAAACGAAAATTTTGAGGATTCCGGCCCGCGAGAACTCTTTCTTTTAATCTGTATCTTTTTACCAGTAATAGGAATCGGTATTTATCCAGATTTTGTTCTCTCGCTATCCGTTGACAGGGTAGAGGCTCTGTTATCCAATTATTATCCTAAATAGGATTTTTTTTTCTTCTACTAGTCCGCTCTATATTCCATAGTGGAAATACTAAAAAATTCAGAAAAAAGTAAAAGAGTCTAATTAGATCTATCTCGAATTTTTGAGAACCCTTTGAGAAGGCGTTCAAGGGGTTCTCAAATCAAACACAAAAATGGAAGTTTTTTCCATTTCATTAAGGTTTTATGTTATGTAATCATTTAGATGGGTAATGTAAATGAACCATAACTATGTAAACCTATTCCTAATAGATTGATACCAAAATAACAGATCCAAATTATAAGAAATCCTATGGAAGCTACAAATGCTGACTTCGTACCCTTCCAATTTGGATTTGTTCTACTATGTAAATAAATTGCAAATATGGTCCAAGTAATAAATGCCCAAGTTTCTATAGGATCCCAATTCCAGTAGGATCCCCACGCCTCATTAGCCCATACTGCTCCACAAAGAATACCTATGGTTAAAAGGGTAAACCCTAGACTAATGACACGATAACTCCAAGAATCCAAACACTCAATTAATTGATATTTGTAATAATTTGGAAATAAAGGAAAAAAGGTGCTTTTTAAAGCACTTCTTTCACTATGTTTCATTATGTATGGATCAAATGTTGCAGTGAACTGAAACAATCTTTCACTATTTGCTAAAACATTGTTTTTATATAAGGTGAAAGAACACTCGATTTAAACGAGTGAAACATTTTCAATCTACTTAGTGAAACAATTCCGATATACCTGGTGGAACATCGTGCAACATTTAAAAATAATTCAATAATAAGCTAAAAATAATTTCGTCGGAATATATCCATGTGTGGTCTTGCTTTAAAGATTTAATTGCAACGATTTAATGGTGCAATCGGATCAAGCTTTGGATAAGTAATTTAAGAGAAAAATCAGTTTAAAATAGTTTTTACACGTAAATCGGGCGCTGACATCAGGGCCCGATTTTAATCGGCTCCCATCAGGCGCCCGACGGGGAGTCACGTCCTAATCTTTAGTTGTTCCCGGGTGTTCAATAGGTACGCTCCGTAACAACATTAGTTACGTAGTGTTCCACCTAAACACCCCGCAAGTTACCTGGTGCTAGATAAACACCCCGTAATTTTTCAGCTCACACTCGGTATAGTCTCCAATCTTGGTAGTCCTACGTTGCTATATTGCTATATTGTGGGAATGATAGAGTAATTTGTGCTCAGAATTCAATCAATTCATGGCCGGCTATTAATTGGTCAACGTCCTCTATTCTTTCTTAGGCTGTGTTTAGTTTCACACCGAAATTGAAAGTTTAACTGAAATTGAAAGTTTAAAGAAAAAAGTTGAAAGTTGGTGTGAGTAAGAAAGTTTTTGATGTGATGAAAAAGTTGAAGGTTTGAAGGAAAAGTTGGAAACTAAGGCCTTAATTAACTCTTGTCGTGTCCCCTCTGCAGGCGCTGTTCATCGTCGTCATAGCACGTCGCTCTCCGAACGCTGACTATAGCAGGCCAAACGGGCGGCCCGGCCCAGCACGGCACGGCATGCCGACGGCACGGCCCACTAGGGCACAGCCCGTTAGGCACGGCTCCTGTAGCGGGCCGTGCCGTGCCGGCCCACGTGCCAAGGCCACGGCCCAAGCACGGCCCAAGAAGGTGCTGGGCCGTGCCGGGCCGGCACGGCTACTGTAGTGGCACGTGGGCTGGTAGCCGGCCCACTAGTACATGTGGCCCATAAAAATTGAAATTTGAGGGGAAAAAAAGAAAAAAGGCAGAAAAAACATAATATAAAGGAAAAAATGATAAATATAGGATAAATGTGAGGAAAATTTAGGAAATATATCATAAAATATATGGTACAAATAGGATAAAATGTGGAAAAAAAATAAAAAATATGAGAAATATATGGGAAAAATTAGAAAATCGTAGGAAAAATAAATGGGCCGGTGGGCCGTGCCATGCCTGGGCCGTGCCGTGCCGGCATGCTACAGTAAACGTGCCGTGCCGTGCCAGCCCACGGGCTGAGGCATCGGCCCAAACACGGCACGGGATAACGGGCCGTGCCGGCACGGCCCACAGGCTGGCGTGCCGTGCCGGGCATGGGCCGGCTACAGTACTGCCGTGCTCGGGCCGGCCCGGCTTGGCACGGCCCATTTGGCCAGGTCTAACGCTGACGTATAACGAATTGATCGATCTCCTAGAAAAATTGATCAATCAAAGAAGTGTACAGGACATCAACGCAAATTAATTGACTTTTTTTTAAAAAAAACGAAGGAATGCGGTGTGTGTTATACTCTAGTTAGTCATATGATCCAGATTACGGCATAAACGTTTTCTTGGAAGCAAGCTAATCCTGCCATTGCATTAAAAAAAATCCTGAGAATACAAATCAAAGAAACTCGGGGTTGACCAAAAGAAAGAAGGAACAACAGTGAGGAGAAATGGTATATGCTCAATTTATTCTATATACTCAGAATATATAACTTTGACAATTACTATTATATACATGCTCCTTACAATCATAAATAAATATCTGGTGCTTAGGATAGGAAATTTGGTCAAACTTGGGAAGTTCCAACCATCAATAATCACAAATATTTAGTTCTTCTGAAAAAAATAGTTATATGATTTATCTCGAAAGTATTATCATAATATGTCATAAAGTTGTTGCAAATAAAATTGATTGTCGAAATTTTTTAATTTTGACTTAATCTTTTCATAAGCGTCAAATATTTATAACTAGAAAGTATTACGCTGTTTTTTTTCTGAAGTAAAGCATCATTATTAGTAGTAGTACGGTAGTACTAGTGTTTATCCTTAGCTCGCAAATAAACTCACGTACAACCGCAACGATGGCCACGGCAGCTACGACGACGACGGGCGGCGATGTCCAGATACCGATTGGACAGCAGGCCACCGTCGCCGCCACCGCCACTGCCACGAGCGATGGGATCCGGGATAGCCCCGGCACGTCGAGCCCCTTCCGTGGCGGCGGCGGCAGCACCACCCCCACCCCGCAGCGGCCGGTGAAGGCCGGGTCCTCCTCCTCTCCACCACCGCCGCCGACGACGGCCATGGACAAGACGCTGTCCAGTGTAGCGAACCTCGCGAAGCTCCTGCCGACGGGCACGGTGCTGGCGTTCCAGTCGCTGTCACCGTCGTTCACCAACCGCGGCGCGTGCCTCACGTCCAACCGGTACCTCACCGCGGCGCTCCTCTACCTGTGCGTCCTCTCCTGCATCTTCTTCTCCTTCACCGACAGCTTCGTCGGTGGAGACGGGAAGCTCTACTACGGCGTGGCGACGGCCAAGGGTTTCCTCGTGTTCAACTACGACGCTGGCAGCAGCAGCGACGGCGACGACGACGACCAGCGGCGGCGGAGGGAGGTGTTCAAGGACCTCCGCAGGCTGAGGATACGGTGGGTGGACTACGTGCACGCGGTGTTCACGGCGTTGGTCTTCATGACCGTGGCGTTCAGCAGCACCGCCGTGCAGAGCTGCTACTTCCCCGAGGCCGGCGACAACGTGAAGCAGCTGCTCACCAACCTTCCCCTCGGCGCCGGCTTCCTGTCCACCACCGTCTTCCTCGTCTTCCCGACCACGCGCAAAGGGATCGGATATGGCGGCCAGTCCACCAATTAACGTACGTGCAATCGCCTAGCTAGCTACAAGGCTTGCTTTACTTGTGCAGTGATGCTAATTAATTATATATTGTTGTTGGCCAAGCCTTTCATTTGGTGTAGCGTGCACGTGTGCAACTTTTCCATGTGCACTAGTCATGTAAAGCAGTTTAGTTTGTCACGATTTGTGTTATGCGCATATGATTCTTTGCAATTGCACCGAAGATGCACGCACGATTAATTCGGTTTACGGTTTTGCTATAAATGATAGATTGTTAATTTTCGCTTCAAATTTGTCAATTTTTCAGCCGTTAGATTAACCTCATGATTCGTGCATGCTTTCGTTTCTTTGACGTTCGCGGGCGAAGAGCAGCGGGCTCAGCGCGCGCGATGGCACGGCAGACACAGGGGTAGACACGGTCTTTAATTTGCATGCACATCTTTTTCCTTTTCATTGATGAACCCTGTACGGCTGTACCCTCGTTAATGCTAAGAGTGTGTTACCGCTGATGTAAGACGGTTTTCTCTAAAAGTTACATCTTAGTTATATACAAATGTCGGGTCCCAAAATTAGCTTTCGGTAACTAACTTGTCTGCATGTCTGTATCAAGCCCTAGATGAATAGATTAATACATGTTCAATAATATCTGGATCACCATTCCATACATTTAAACAAGGGCTCCAAAAGAGATTTTATTGCATAAAATACAAGAGCATTTACATAATTGTGGCTAACTATTGCAGCAGAAGCTATACAATGAACCGACTCTACTATTTTGCTATAGGCTCAAACCTTCTAATTAGTCTAGACTTGAGGGCTTATATGATTGAACTCCTGGTTTTGGCGAGAACTTCGAATCAACTCTGGAAGGGTTAAAGCAAGCACTACTGGAGAACCAATCTTTGCTGGGTCGACCGAAAACCACATTACCCTGGTTCCAATAAGAACTGGGACTAAAAAACTCCAATGGGACTATGTGAAGATCATCTTTATTCCTGGTCCATCCCCTGACAAGGCCTGTCAGGGGGCAGGGGATCTTTAGTCCCAGTTTGTAATACCAACTAGAACTAAAGATACCTATTATTTAGGTTGGTAATACCAACCAGGACTAAAGATTATTTAGATCTTTAGGGACTAAAGATTGTCGCCTTTTTATATTCCTTCTTGCTCCTTGTCACATCCCGAATTCACCGTAAAAAGCATCATTTAAATTATTCCTAGAAAAAGTAAAAATGGGTGTCAACCCTCCAACCTTAAAAATATACAACCTAAAAATCAAAGGAGGCTTGGAGAATTTTTTATATATATTTTTTCTCGAGGCCTAAAATGTGTAATCAAGTTTTAGTGGAATTCTCAGAGCACAAATAATAATTGCCGATAGGAACAAGGGATAATAATTTCAACAAATGGTCACCTAATTGGGAAGGTCCTTTTCGTATCCATCGATATGTGCCTAAGAATGCCTATCTGCTTGAAGGTTTTGATGCAGAGTTTTATGGAAAAGCACTTAATGGAAAATATCTGAAGAAATATTATCCAAGTGTTTGGATTAATTAATAATCGGTTGTTTAGCTGATGTATGATGTGGCCGATGTTTGATACATCGTCTATTGATGGCCGATATGAATTATCGTCCTTAGAGCAATTTTGTAACATAACTCCTCATATTACAAAATTGGGGGCATATATCCAGATATCAGACAGAAAATATGTGGGTTTAAAAAACTTTTTCAATATTGAGAAGCAAAAGGATTTTTTTGGTTAGATGGCCGATACACAGATATATTACAAACTGCAAGTAAATATTCAGAGTTTAATGGACTTTTTCAAGCCAGTTACATTCCCAGGAAGTTGTGGATAGCTTCAATAGCACGAAGACGAAGGTTGTTGATTTATTCAATAGTTCTGCGGTCTTCGGCATCGGTCCCTGGGATCGGCTTCATTGCTCTTGTCAGGCCTGCAAGATATTTGATCGATGCCTTTATTTTTATCTTTGCTCTTCGATAGCTTTTAAATTCAATGATATTTGATTGTTGCTCCGATGCCATCTCTTGCCGAATCTGCTCCAGTTGTGCTAGGAGTTCGGATTCCTTTTGTTTGAGCTTGTCAAGCTTTTTTTGAGAAGATTCTGGACCAACGATTAATTTGTCCAGCTTGCTTTTGTAATCCAAAATCTGCTGTCGGCTGGAGGTGACGGTCGCTTCCAAGGATTGCCTTTCCTGCCGATCTATCAACCTTTGTTGTGCCCGTTGGAGTTTTAAGTTATATTGATCAAGATGTGCTGCTGGAGAGATAACATCAGCTAGGTCTTTAGAAATAAGAGCTTGGATAGCATTGAATTTAGACCAAACTGGCTCACAATCTACAACTAATGCATCAAGAGATACATTGAGCCGATTGACCAAATCTAGCAAATTTGCTTTTAAATCATCTGAAATGAGTAATTTGGCTCGGATTGAAGATTTTGTCCCATCGTCTTCATCCTAGACATTGGTAAAAGGAAAAATGAGGAATCGGAGATATTTAAAGGAGGAATAAGGTACCATGACTTTTCAAGCTACCCGCCGATGACGGGGTGCTACGTCAACCGATCAAGGCAAAACTGTAGGATTAACATCGGTTGTCTCTTCCTCATCCGATGGCTTGTCATCAGCTCTGGTTTTCCTTTTCTTTGAAGGGGATACTTAGGTCACTTTCTTTGTGATTTGTTTAGATTTTGGAACAACCGGCATAGTTTCTATCACTGCCTGGTATGGAAGTAAAGAATCAGCCAATGGAGAATTTAAACCAATAGTTTATGGAGCCAGAATCAACTCATTATCCAGAAGGGTTTTGACAGCTGCATATACAATCAGCTGACCGCTTTTGCTGACATTTGGTGGAGGCTGATCGATATCCTGGAAGGTAAAGATAGGTTGAAATTATATAACCAATCATCAGATTCAATACTTGAGTAGAAGAAGAGGAAGATGGGTTTCAGGCTTACCTGAGGACCGATGGAAGTATTGATGATTGTGAGATAAAAAGCAGTTGGCTGATAGAAGATATGTTTTTTCCATTCTGCCCACAAGTATTCATAAATCAGGCTATATTATTGAAGTTGGGACAATTGAATCGATTGGGCCTAAAGGTGGACCTTCAATACTCAAGACCTTGTCCATAAGTTCCGCCGATGATATTGTGTCTCTAGCCGGATTTTGGTTGAGAAATAAAGGTTCAAAGGGAGTTGGCCTAGTCAGAACTGTCTTGCTGCTACCATTGGGTGGTAAAACTCATATGAGTTTTGAGTGGATTGGCCTTGTGATACTCCAGTAGGAAGGATGCATGGTGAAATAGCCGATATGAAGATCTTTTTGTTCTCAGGATAAAATTCATTGTTCAAGTCGTCCAGGATAAAATTCATTGTTCAAGTCGTCCATTCTCAAGTCCTTTGGTCATTCAAAGTCTTCAAAGTCCTCATAGATGTACCACATTACTGTGTCGGTTAAGAAACCATCATAAAAATGCTTGAACCAGAATTCAAAGAATTCAGCCAATAAGTTAGAGCCAGCAAAGGTATAAGCGGCTTCACCAAAAGATATGCAAGGTCTTTCGTCTTTACCTTCTTTGAATTAAGGAAATTTAAGCTCTTGGAGGGTCCGATGGTTGATTAAGTTGACGGCATAAAGATTTAACCACAATTGGATGAACCACCAAGGACCTCCATGTTTCACTGGGGAACCCATTAGCAAACGGACTGTTGCTTGACCCAAAATCTGATAAGCGGCCTTGAGAAGGAATTTACCTAGAGGGATTGACTTCTCCTCATGAATAGCTTGAGCCAGATGAAGAAAATTGGCTGTAGGGCCACAAGTTGTGCCACAGAAAATGAATCTCTCCAACCATAAGTTAAGGAAAGAGATATGTTCCTCATCTGTAATTGGTCCAATGGCTCTACATCTTTTGATATATCCTGACCAACCACCTCCAGCCTTGGTTTTAATTTTGTATTCGCTCTTGTTTTTCAAGCTGATGGGATTAGCCAATGAGGTGATGTCTAAGCCCGTTAACATTTTAATATCCAAAAGGGTGGGTGTCATCGGCCCATGTCCGAAGATGATGGCATTGATGGTGTTAGACCAGAAATATGTAGTGGCCGATAATAAAGATTCGTTCTTCGGCATATTGGCTAGGAAGAGCTGAAGACACTGTTCTATCCCCATCCTTTTCCAAGATGATCGTTTGGCAGTTGATATCCTTTTAAACTAATCTTCCCATTCGTCAAGCTTTGAGGGCCAGGACCTAAAAACATTTGGCCAATGGTCGAACTCTGGTTTTGATTCTTTGAATGGGATTTTGTTCGTCTCGGCGCTGATAAATATTGTGGGATTTGGATCACCCATAGGACCAACGAGTTTCGGCATGAAGGACAGGAATCAAGATCTGGCATCTGAGGTGCTAAAAAAAACCAAAAGGGCAAGAAACCCTAAGATCCAAGAAAGAGCTTTACACGAAAGATATTGATGACAAAAGGAATTTACCTCGGGGATGTCGGAAGTGGTTGCCATTGTTAGAAGTTTGAGCTAATGAAGCAAAGGGGTTTGTCACCGGGAGTTTGGGTCACCGGAGGAATCGCTGAAGATAATAGAGATTGTGCAATAGAGGAAGTTGTGAAAGACTTAACTAGAGAAAGAGGGATTTGAAACAGTGGGCCTTTGCTTATAAGATCAACAGTCAAAATATAAAACCCTAGAGTTTCGCGGGTTCGACCAGAGCGAATTCCGCCGCATTATATAATATAGCGGAATTGGGGGGCATGTGTTAACAACAGAATTTGGCATCACATTCGGAAAAGGAGGGATATCGAAACGGATTTGGTGTTGAATCGAACCAAACTTAGAGTCGGACTGCACATCGGCTGGATACCATATCGGCTGAAACAGAGTATTAAGTGGGTCGATGCTTGATGAAGCTGATGGCCGATGCAGCCGATGGCCTATGCTGCCGATATAATATGACTTAGGCACGACATGGGCCTAGATTGGGATAACCGTCATTGCCAATAAGAGATAGAGCTCGATTAAGGCAATTATATCTATTGATTAGGATATTGAGTTGGTTTGTTAGAGATTTGGCAAGAGACCGTCGTATATGGTCTTGTTTGTATCTTACGTTTAGAAAGGTTTGAGTCGTGTCCATAATGAAGTAAGTTTGTACTCGGGGTATAAATATGATCCCCATAGCATTGTAATACGGGAGCAACTCCAATACAACTTCGGTGCATCGCCACCCTTTTACTTTTCTCGTTTCTTGCTGATTGCAGGATCAAATCAGCTGGCACGCCCTTGACACACTCGAGGCTAGCCTTGGACCTGCACTAGAGTTAAGCAGATCTCCCAGGCCGCCGTGTTTTCACATCAACACCCGCTCATGTCCACTTTACATGTATAGGCTCTGGATCACCTCTCAATGATGGTTATGGGTTAACCAACCTCCATAAGCGTCATTCCAACTGCCATATGAATCTATAAAAGGAGGAGAAACTCTCACTTTCAATTTACACAACAAAGTGGGGTACAACTCACTTTCATATTTTAAGCATCATTTTAGTAGTGTGGAGAAAATAGGTAGAGAGTAAGGGGAAGGTCCAGAGGAGTGCCGGAGCTATCAGCACTCTCCACTTTCTCGTACGTCGGCTGATGCTTCTTTCATAAAGTAAGTATTCGAGATTTCCTTTCAGTATTTAATTTACTTAATTAAGTGAGATATATTCCCATCGTTGTGGGTTTGTCGCTTAGTATTTATTATATTGAGCACTTTAGTACTAGGACTCTGGATGAAGAAGGAAATTCCTGTGTAAGGCTAGAGTTGTAATCAATACCTTAGGCATGGTGTCTAGGTTAGCGGTTATCTTCGTTTGTTGTGTGCTCCATGAAAAGTGAGGTAGGCAGCAGTGATGATAGTTTTGTCCGTCCTTTGTATCCCACCATGTTTAGATACATCATAGAGCTACAGACCAGGTGAGAGCCGGTGCCCAAAGCAATTGATAGGGTTTTATCTTTAACTTTAGTCTAATTAATTAAAGCATACGAATCCTCTCTAGCCTAAGCATATAATTAGTTAGTTGGTATCCTTGAATAGAATCATGTTCCTAGATGTACATATAATTCGATATCCTTGGAATAATCTAAGTTGAAGTACTACAACGGTATCCATGCGCTTGCGGATTAATCAGTGATTGTAACAATTACCAACAAACATTTCTGGCACCATTGCCGGGGAACGGTTGTTGTATCATTTCCGAACCTGGTTAATCATCGTATCTTTTCTTTTCTTTTCTTTTATTCATTTCCCTTCTTATCTATCATGGTGCACCTATCTATTCAAAACCCTTCTGCTCCAAAGGGCGAGTTCTGTGAGCCACCTTATTCTTCAAAACCAATCCGTTCATCTGGCTATAAACTATGTCCTGGTTTTATATATGGACGTGACTACACAACTAGTGGTAGCTGGTTTGTCTAAACTAGCTACCACTTCATCTATGAGAGATCCTATCCACCTATACTTCAAATAAAATTTTCTCTTAAACTACTCATCCGATCTATGATCTGATTACATCGTTGTGTTTGTAACAATTAAATCTTTATAACAAGATCTCACATGATTATATTATGATGAAAAATTGTAAATTAATTTTATAAGATATCTAAATTACTTTTAGATTTCACTAAGTTACTTCTTGATACAGATGTTGTCCCGATCTTCACGACGTAGGATCTTGAACAAGATAACTAGCTGAAAATCAGACAAGATAACTAGCTGCGAGTAGCCGGATAACTAGTGCAACCTGACGACACGCACAAGGAGCCAACCACCGTCTCTATACGGCAGCCTGAACCAAGGATTCGCCCAATCACACTCTCAAAGAACCATCCTACGCAGCCTGCACACGAAGTATCAGGAGCATGGATTGGGTGCCGATGAAGCAGCCGCCTATGTAATCCCACGAGGAAATCACAAGAGCAAAGGGGTAGAGATCTCGGTCTCTCGGTGTTTGTTAGCACACAGCTGAACAAAGGGGTTTATATTTCGATTATCAAAAAGCTCCCAAATGATAAAACATAAGGGATATTTATACTAGGAACAACCCCCCTAGATGGGAATGAAAAGTCTTGGGAGTTTACTGGACATAGGTTAGCTCAAAAGTCACAATAAGTGAATTCCCGAGATCTATTTGGCTTCTGAGCAGTCTTCCATGTTTTACCCATTACTCCTTATTGGAAAGTCCAAATGACATGCGGTCAATTGCATTGGAAAGGTAACTTGATAAGTTTTCACACCATGTGCATAATGCACTACGAAATATTGTCGATTGATACAGTTTTGCATGGGAAGTTGAACGTCTTGCAGACTGTTGGCCTTCAGAGCAGTGTCCACTAATCTGGCCATAACTCTTTAGTGGGAAATTCAAATGACGAACGGTTTGTTGGGTGTGAAACTAGACTCAATAAGCTTTCTATAATATGCTCATTCACCTTCATAACTTTTGAGAATAAAAAGTTATGAGTGTTTATTTCACTGGCCCGTTTTGCACTGGACTGGTCCGTTCTGAGCTGATCTTGCTTTTGCACTGGTCCGATCTTGCTGCTCCATTTTATCCTCCTTGGTGAACTTATCCATGGTGTAGTGGTGGCAATCCGAGTCAAGTCTCTATCTTTAAGCACAACGATATGCTTTAACCTACAATCATACAAGCCAAGTAGCAGCCTTGCTCGATGAAAACAATAAGATTTGTAGTTAAGCATAGCGTTAACCTTGCATTGATGTGCAACAATCACATTACATGTGAATGGCCTTGGCCAGGCCGTATCACTTCTTAGACATATAAAAGTAAATTTAATAAAGCCTAAAAGTAATTTATATATATTATAGAAGTAACTTATAACAAAAAGAAAGTAACTTTAATGCATGCTTTTTTTTCATAGGACGTGACTACACAGCTAGTAGTAGCCTCTCCATCCGGTGTCTACTTTGAACTTGAAAAAGGCAACAATATGTATCTTTTCTTAATCTCTTTAATAACTTATATATTTTAAATTACATATTGTTTTTAAGATCTATTTGCATCATTGTACTCCACTCAAAATATGTGACAAAATGAGATCCATATTGAATATATTCAAACATTTTATTAATTTAAAATTATTTATTACATATTTATTACATGTTAGAAAGTAACTTCCATGTTATCAGGAAGTAACTATTACATCTTATACATGATTAATTCTCATTAGTTATTCCATCAATGTTATTTATAATCCATCAAAGGTTTTATCTTCTTTTCTCATTCTACATGAAAAACAAAAATAAAAGGAAAAAAAACAATCGGCGATTAAACAGATTTATAGAGAGTTACTTCCGAACCATGCAAAAGTTACTTCCAATTAACATTGAAGTTACTTTTAAAAATTGTTAAACTTACATGTGCTGATCTGTACTGATTAAATTTAATTTCTAGATAGAGTCATAATTTTATCCTTACAACGAATTTACTTCTAATGCCATGACCAAGTTACTTCCGTTTTATATTAAGTTACTTTTATAATATATGTAAATTACTTTCAAAGTAAGTAAATTTACTTTTATATGTCTAAGAAGTAATTTAGTGAAATCTAAAAGTAATTTAGATATATTATAAAAAGTAATTTATATTTTTTTCATCAAAATATAATCATGTGAGATCTTGTTATAAAGATTTAATTGTTATGAATACAACGGTATAATCGGATCATAGATCGAACGAGTAGTTGAAGAGAAAAATTTATTTGATGTATAGGTGGTTCCTATTTACTTAATAGACTATTATTATATATATTTTCAGTGTGATGGGAGCAAACCTCTGCCACGTCTGTCTCTCTCATTCTCTCTCTCTTTTTCTCGGACGCGAATGGATGAGGATGATGACTCGTGGTGGGTTGGCTGGGACGAGGACGCGCGGATGGAGGCCACGTCAACTCACGCGGGATGGACGGTTTTCCCGGCGTCGCACGATAGCGCCAGATCGAGAGGCCTCTCGAAATAGTTTTTACGTTTATATAGCTATGGTTCGGGAACAATCCTTCTTAAGGCGTGAAAGCGAAAACTCCTACCATCATCTGCGTGAGTTTGAGCAATTGTGTTCATGCTTGACAATCGCGGACATGGCGCAAGACACCTTCAAGTGGAAATGTTTTCCCTTTGCGAAGCAATGGTACACCCATACGTCAGAAAATTGAATAGTGAACGAGAGTAATTAAAAAGCAAGTTTTGTCTTGATTTTTTCCCGTAAACCCGTGTAGTCTCTCTGCATATGGATGTTCTCAGCTACAGCTTGGGCTTGGTTCTCCTTGTTAACTCAAGCCAGCCTAGACTTACCTTTATCCGATCATGTGTTGTTACAACACTGCTTAGATTTAGACAGGGAGTTTGCCATGTATCTCGATAGTTCCGTCGGAGGTTCGTTCGCACACAAAACGACATCGGAAGGAAGAGAACTCTTGAATCGTACCCAGGAGAACACCTCTTTCGTTCATTGCGAAACTGTCTAGGAAATTGAGTATACACATGAGGAGCATCAAACGCCAAATCAGAGCATATATCCTCTACATCCAAAGATTCGACCATTGAATGCTCACCCTAACCTTGAGAACCGGAGGAAGAGGAAATTCACCCTTTAAAATTCCATTTCTAATTTAAGGGTGATCGTTCTAAAGATTATGAAAATACCTCATACTATTCCTGCCAAAAGAGACCACCGGTCCAATGCAGTTCTCTTGAACCGCTCGAGGAAAATTTCCTCAAAGATGCTCAAGGAAAATTTTCTCAAAATGACGATGCAGGAATTAACTACCATCATAAGCATATAATGAGTAGTTAAGGGAGATTAAACTTTTCTCCAAAGTAATTCAGATTAGCTCCCTATGTTGTTCCTGAGGGAGGGGTGGCATGGCATCCAGCCTTTGGGCGTTATGTTGTGCAGACCAGACAGTATGATCCACACAAAGTAGTTTCCATCGAATATAATTACTCTGTAGCAAGATACAAAGATATTACTCCATAACCCACTTGCGTCTCGCTCCTTTTCAAGTTACTTTGTATTTCAGATGTTTTTCTGTAACATGTTACCTACCATAAGGCTCAATACAAAGACACAAAGTACACATAAATTCAGTGGTGGAACCAGAGAAGCACAAAGTACACTTTTGAGGAGCTGAGGCCGGAAGTGCTAATTAGTATAAAATTTGCTCCAGCTACAATAGTTCCAATGAACTCATGGGGGATGCAAAGCCCCCTGCTCACCCCTCCACTCATAAATTGCAAAAATTGATGTTACACTTCGCTGATGAATTAGAGCTTCCAAGGTTTTCTAGTCGGTTAGAAACCAACTCATGTGCTGGCTAAAACTGATGACAATCTCCTGCATAATGTACATAAAAACATGAGTTTCCGTGCCAAAAGATGAGCATGAGAACACACGTAGAAAGTACAATACATGGAAAGAGGTACGATGTTTTGCTTACGTTGAACTAGAACTCCACAAGTACTGAACTTGGGTGAAAAATAAACTATTTGACAAGTTAATCTTACTGATAACTTTTGAGCTCAAGGTGCATTTTTTTTAAAAAAAAATCTGAACTGCTACCTAGAGTAAAACAGCAGATAAAAATATAACATTTCTCACCTAATTGACAGCAATGACCATAATAATCAGTTGCATATCATGTATTCTTTGGAGACGGCATCTGATCAAGAACCTCACGCACAAAGAGGTCCTGTAACTCCAAGTATTTACTCCTCCATTCTACACCCTGTTGTTTTGGTGCACCATACAGAGCACTGGCCCCAGATTCAAACAATCTGGACGAACTGCCAGGCTGCTAGATCAAAGCAGAATGGACACTAAGAGTTCAGATAGAACTGAAAGGTAAAAGAAATTTGGGCCCCTGTGTCAACAGCAATACAAAATCAGCTGACCTGAAGTGCATCCAGGCAGCGCTCCAGAAAGTCGGAACTGAAGTTTCCAAAAATTTGGACATCATTTTCAGGTTGGGGCACAATTACAGCCCGTGATTCAGATCCTCCATTTGCTGAGCAAACTTTCCGTAGTGATTGTAGTGGTGGAAGATTTACTCGTTTAGGCGTTACTAAGAGAACATTCGTCACTGGACCTAGTAGACAAGTTATGAAAAGCTCAAAAGAATGTAACGTCAATAGGAAATTACAAAAAAAAAAGTACAAAAGGCTAACTCTATTTTTCTTTCAGTGTAGTTAAGATTTCATATTTCCAAACTATGACAATTACAAAACAATTTTTAACCATGCAGTGAACATCTTTAAAGACAAGTATCAACAGAGCATCCACTTCATCACTCCACCTTTAAAAACAAGGGTGCAGATCAGTGAAGTAGCACAAGTTGCATTGTGAACACCATTTGTGTCCATCCAATAATTGGAGAAACACTGTTCAATCCAATAATTTAATGGTGGTATTATGCTTTGCTGCTCCAGACAGGTTTCAGACTATGCATGGAATAAACCCACTGTATCCCTGCTCTCTCATTACTTACTATTGTTTTTCTTTTGGAGATGGGAGGTGGGTGGGTGTGGGGTAGCGAGATTGACAACATCCACTATTGGTTACGGTAGCCAGCTGCTGCACCATACTCACAAGGGCAGACATGTCATAATGACAAAGAGAAGACTCGTACCCATCATGCCACTGTATGTATTCCATGGTCCATGGGTTTCTATACTTTCACTCATGAGCCTTTGTGTGTAGGAAGGGCATATATCAACAGGTTTGTCAACATGAACTTAACAAATCATGAATAGCATCTGAATAAAAACTAACATTTTGATTTGGTCATCCATTTGGTCTTGTATTAAACTGTGGGCTTGAGATTTTGGTTTGTCACTACTCACTCGGACCTTGAGCCAAATTAATTTCATAATACAGAGTACATATTTCCCGTTATTTATTGATAAGCACTGTTTTAAGATTCACTCAGGTTCTCCTTCAGAAAGAGGAAGGGGGACTCTGAAGTGAGTTAGAATATCAGGAAGCAAACTACAACTGAATTATAAACAAGGTTTCCTAAAGAGTTCTATTTATCCTCCATTATGTGCAAGAGTTCCTAAAGAAACAATTGTTTAACCTTATAAGTATGACATTGAATATCGTACTTAACATTGGATGCACTTCCTCCGTCCCAATACAAGTGCATCCTAGTACAAACGTGACATATCCTAAGACTACGAATCTGGACAGCTGCATGTCCAGATTCGTAGTCCTAGGATATGTTACATCTGTACTAGGTTGCGCATAAATTGGGACAAAGGGAGTACTGAATATGTTTCAGTCTAGCTAAAATATTCAAGAAAAGCTTAAATTGGGACGAAGGGAGTACTGAATATGTTTCAGTCTAGCTAAAATATTCAAGAAAACCAGTATGTGCAGGAACAACATGCGCATACATATGCATTAATAACTTTCTTCCCATGGTATGAGCAATGAATAGAATTAAATCTACAGCGAGTGCTTGAAAACCAGCCAATGAGATTCCTATCAATCTATTGGAGGTGACAGCATTCAATATAAGCTTCTTCTGTTTCTCCTAGATAAATGTTCCTGCTTTTGAGAGGTGACAACTATCAAGTAACCTAAGTAACAACAGCGATGCAGATAAAGGAGTGTTAAAACTCTTGCACTACTTTAAAGAAGGGTGTGTGTGAACAATCTATGAACCTTGGGAATGTTTGAATTTTCGGATTACTTGCTGAGTTCTTGTATCCCAAACTCGAACATTACCATCCTCAGATCCAGAGATCAATATAAGTCCATCAGTACTCGATGCTAAGCTGGTTACTGCCTTGCTGGATCAATAAAATAGAACACACATTAAAGAAGGTTAGACAAAAATAATACCACAGTAGTTGTTAAACCAAAAATGATACTACAGAATAAGGTCAGATACAAACAAGAAGGCTGTGTTTAGATCCAAACTTTGGATCCAAACTTCAGTCCTTTTCCATCACATCAACCTGTCATACACACACAACTTTTCAGTCACATCATCTCCAATTTCAACCAAAATCCAAACTTTGCCACCAACTAAACACAGCCGAAGTGCAATCAAAGATGAAATACAACCCACTGGCAGAAGAATGGTTCAAACAGGACACGCTCTCCACGATCAGGTGATCCTAACTGCTTTTCTTTACAAGTTTGAGTTCACACACCACGAATTGTATCACCTTTTCTTCTCTAGTTAGTAGTTACTGCCATTTCTGTACCCCCAGTTGTTTAGTATGTTAGACAAACAGTGCGCCCTCCAAGATGCATTTGTTTTCTAAAGCTATTAACTAAATAGACAAGAAAATTTGCATCAACAAAAATCATTTTCAGGCGTATTAATTAATCACTTTCCACAGCAATATGAAAAAAAAAATGTTTTCATTAAAAACAAACTGGTCGAGCTAGGATGGATACAACCAAAGTTAAAGCATGAACAGGTAAGATAGGTTTATAACCACTCTACTACTACAAGATATCAAACTCTAACTTGTATATTGAAGCTGTTTACATCACAGGATAAATAAGAGGTGCTAATGAAAGCAAGGAGTAGGCAAACCTATGGTCATCCAAAGCCCCATTAATAGTTGAATCATCACTACTAGGAGAGGTGACATCAATTCCCATAGCAGTAACATATATCTTTCCATCTCGACCACCAGCGTAGAAAATATGACTCCTTGGGTCTAACGCCACTGAATCAGTAATAGAAGGAAATGAAATGCTTCTTAGCATTCTACCCTCGGATAGACTCCAAATCTAGGAAAGAGGGGGAACAAAAAGTTAAATGCTAATAAAAATGACTAGACCATATAGTCAAGTACAATTCTACAAAATATACAGCTCAAAGACAAAGTACAAGTAGATTGCATACTTTACAGGTGTGATCCTCTGAAGATGATACAGCAATTGCTCCATGACAGCAAGCAACATCGGTTACAGGAAGTGCGTGCTGATTAAAGCTGTATATGTGTTGTGTCTTTGCCTCCAATCTTGATTGCTCATCAAGCATCCTGCAGTAAACAACACAAATTAAGTAAACCAAACAAGCAATCAGTGTGGTCAGTATTACCATAATCACATACGTGAGGAGATCCCAAACTTTGATGCTACCGTCTTCAGACCCCGAGATAAGCAAAAAGTCATAGAGTGCAAGGCACCTAACAGCACGATAATGTGCATGCCACTGGACAAGCAACTCCCCACTAGCCACCTACACACACAACCACCATAGAGAATGGGGTGTAAGAAAGAACGAATTTTATTATCAAAGACAGAGTTACTGGATGAATTAGGAACATGGAGTGGAAATGTTAAATTTCTATGCAAAATGCCAAAATCAAACAAATAGGAATATAATTCACTAAAAGAGGACCAGATAGAATTTAGCACACTTTGTGTCCTGTGAAGACAGATACCAAATATAAAGAGGCAACATTTCAACACAAGAAAACAACACAGATGATTGTACTTGCACACCAGGTGAAAAAAGTGCAAAATTTCAAGAAAGGTATGAAAGCACAAATAGATTAGGCAAAATCTGAACTCTAAGAAGCTGCCTGACAGAAAAGTTGAAACAGAAACAGAAGGCATATTTTAGGGGGAAAAGTAGCGAAGCAAACATAAGATCCATAACATGTCATAAGCTTATAAGTCTAGGTCAATTTACTAGCAACACCAAAAATTGCCCCGGGCGTAAATGCACTATATGGGTGTGTTTGGTTGCTTGTATGCCCTTAGCCTGACCCGTATGCCCCATCCTGGTGGAGTTTAGCCTGGCTAGCCACATGCAAGTTGATGCAACAGGGTTTGTTTGATTATCAGTTATGTCTGGATCGTGTGCGATGTTGTTTGGTTAGTTGAATATTAATGCATGTATGCTAGGGATTTTGTTTGGTTGGTTGTATGAATTTGGCAAATTATGCTATAGGACACTCAAAGTTTGTGGCCTTTACTGTGAGACACTCAAAGAACGTATATCTTCCTATGGACACTGCAAAAATATGGTAATTAGCTACTGGACACCCGAGGCATTATTTTATTATTTCCAGTGAAAACGTCGAGAGAAAGAACGTAGAAAGTACCAAAATGCCCCTGGACATTGTTCTTCTTCCTGCTTCAGCTCTCTTTTCTTTCTTCTCCTCTCTTCTATTCTCTTCTTCAACGAGCCTGGGAGGCCGCCAGCGGCAAAGGGTGGAGTGGCGGTGGGTGAGCGCAGCAGAGGAGGTAGACGGTGGGCGGGGGAAGGGGCGGCGCCCCTGAAGCAGCCACACACCCTGTTGCCGGAGAAGGAAAAGGAGCAGGGACAGGAGATCTCCGCTTCTAGCGCCGCCTCCCGCTAGTCCACCTTCCGGTTCTCGACATCAGGCTGCTACACGGCGTGGGCGTCCACGGCAGCGACAGTGAGGGTGCGGGCAGAGAGCGCAACATGGCAGAGCGAGCAGAGGCATGCGCGTACGTGCCCACCCGCGCAGCAGAGAAGCATGGCGTCGATGGCGCCGCACTGTGCGCGGCGTGCCTCATCAGGAGGAAGAGGACAAACCGTCGCGGCCATGGAACCTCCGCACCCGCCGCTCCGCCACCGTGGCGCCCAATGCGTCGAAGCTGCGCCGGGGGGGGGGGGGGGGGGAAGGCGGCTGCGGCGGGAGGAGGACAGACGCTGCACCCGCATGCGTTGTCCCCGGTGATCGCGAGGAACAGGAGCTTCTCCGTTGCGCTCACCAGGGAGGAGATGGTCGTGGACTTCATCGCCATCCGTGGCATGGCGCCGCCTCGCCGGCCCAAGAAGCGCTCGCGCGCCGTGGTGGAGAAAGAGCAGGCAAGGGCAAACTTGTCCTTTTTAAATCTCTCTCCGCGTTTTTATCAAATATAATAAAATAATGTCTCGAGTGTTGAACAGCTAATTACCACATTTTTGCAGTCTGTCGACAAGAAGATACACGTTCTTTGGATATCTCACAGCAAATTGCACAAACTTTGAGTGTCCTGTAGCAAATTTTGCCTATGAATTTTGAGTGCAGTTACCCCTTTGCTTGCATGTTGAGGCTGCTTTCTTTAAAAAGATTAAAAACACAAAGTTGCAATAAAATTTGTATGCCAAAAAAATCATCCTATTTTTGCTTGAAACAAATTACTACTATATACTGTAGCATCTTTACTTCATTATTTTACTGTATGTATACATATATGAATCTATTTATCTGTATGAGCCTATGAAAACAACAAAACGAATAAAGGAATAAACAAAAAAGGAAAGGGAATGGGAAAGTGGCCACAACATCTTGGTGGCCTCTAGTGGAAACGCCGGCTGCTCGGTTTGTATCGACAGTCGCTAGCTCGCTGCCTCAGTTGGATTCGACGGCTGCTGTGTCACTGCCATCAAATCAGCAGCCCAACACCGGATCTGACAGACAAGTGCTAGTGGCCTCCGGCTCCAGGTAGAAGGGGAGAAGATGAGCTTGTTGAGGGTGGAGAAAAGCTCAGCGACGATGAGACGAACTTGGTGACAGAGGACAGCAGCAGAGGCATGTTGGAAGTTGGAGGTCCATCGTCACCCTCGTCATTGAGCCCATGCCTTGCTGCTCGAGCCGCCGCATTGGCCAGATCTGGCACCTGAGCAGTTGGGGCTGCCGTATTCGGCGTGTGCACGGTCGTAGACACCGAATCCAAACGAGAAAAGGAGCGGATGGGCTAGATGACGACGAGAAGAGGAGGGCAACGATGATGCGACTTGGGAGGTGAGGCAAGTCGATGCAAATGGGAGATGGGGTGAGGGATGCGCCCTGCTTGCACTGTCTGCACCCGCACGTGCTCGCTTGCATCCGCGGCCACATGAGCCAGACCTGGCTGAGAAGCGAAAGGTGAAAACCTGCATCTCTTAGGCCTGGCTCTTGGGGCCGAATTGCATCTGCTCATCCTCGATCGCGAGCACACCTAACCAAACAAGATATTCACTGCATCTCTCATGTGTCCGGGCAACCAAACACACCCTGTATGAACTACACGAGTTTCCCAAATATGTATGTTCTTCAGAAAATAGCATAGTTGCATCTCACTGAATGCCAAAATTCAAATGCCCAAACAGAACAGGCATCTCCAACATAACCACCACAGTACGACAAGACTGAATTATTGTACAATAAAGGTTATTTTTTTATGAAAACTAAACTGATGATTAAATAAAATTACTCAATATACCTAAACAACCATGGGTGTATAGGCTGTGGTTAGTTCCCTTCAAACTTCCAACTTTTCCGTCACATCAAATGTTTGAACACATGCATAGAGCATTAAATGTGTACGAAAAAAACCAATTACACAGTTTGCAGGTAAATTACGAGATGAATCTTTTGAGCATAATTACGCCATGATTTGACAATGTGGTGCTACAGTAAACATTTGCTAATGACAGATTAATTAGACTTAATAGATTCATCTCGCAATTTACAGGGAGAATATGTAATTTGTTTTGTTATTAGTCTACGTTTAATACTTCAAATGTGTGTCCGTATACGTCAAAAAAAATTGCCAAAACAACTAAACACGACCATAACCTTCCGAAACAGTACACAAAGTGCACAAAAAGCAGCAATGACAACTGTTTGTTCCCCAAAACTAGCGAGTGTTTTACCATAGAAGAAGAAATCAATAGCAAATGCTCTGACCTCCCAAAAGAATATGTCGCCAGAGATCCCACCGCCGATGAGGTAGCTCCCCTCCGGATCAGCGATGAGCGCGCGTATCGGCTCAACCGGGAAGCTCTTGACGGCCACCTGGGGCTGCAGGGGACCAACAAAGGACATGAAGCTCCGCCTCCGAGATAGGGTTTTGTGAGTTTAAAGGACCGTGGGTTAAGGTCGAGTGATTTACCTTGTCCCAGTGGTAGTAGTGGATGGGTGCTGAGTTGCCGGCGGGGGCCTGGGAGGCGGCGAGGAAGCGGCCGGCGACGACGGTGAGAGCGCGGGGGCGGGAGGCGCAGGTGCGGTGGCGGATGGCCTCGGCGCCCGTGCGGAGGTCCCACGCGGCAACGCCGGCGTCGGTGGAAGAGGCCGCGAGCACCAGCTGCTGCGGCGGCGCCATGGTGTGTTGGAGGGGACGGAAGACAGGGAGCGGCGGACGTGATGGCGCGGCCGCGTGGGAGAAGGCCCTGCAGGGGGAGCGCCTCCAAGGCGACCTACTTAGGGTTAGAGTATAGCTGTCAAATGGGCCGGACCAAGACCCGGCCGGGGCACGGCCGTACTCTAGGACTGGGCTGGCCGGCACGGCTACCACAACCCATGGGCCGGCACGACACGACCCAAGCACGAGACACGGCCCGGCTGACCCATACATTTTATTCTAACCAAAAAAAAAAAAGTCCGTGCGTTGCAACAGATGAAAGTTATTTTAATCTTATTATTGTTATACATTTTAGTTAAGGTGAAATCTATTGTAAGAACTCGTTTGGATATATATTTTTTTAAGAAAATCATGCGCTGCAATTAGGACTCTGATCGTTTCAAGGTAGCATGCAAGTTTTTTTTAAAGAGATTTCTTATGCGATTCCTTCTATATTTTAAAAACTAAACGAACTTAAAAACCGACTCTATATTTTTCTCAGAAAATCATGATCTGCAATTAGGAGTCCGGTCATTTCAAGTTAGCATGCGAGTTTTTTTAAAAGAGGTTTGTTATACGATTCTTTTTATATTTCCAAAAGCGAACGAACTTAAAAACCGACTTAAATACGGAACTGTATTTCCAAAAAGAACAAACTTGAAAACCAACTCATGCACGGATGACGTACCAAAGTACCGGCAAAAATATCTTCAATTTTTATATTTTATTCTTACTAGAAAAAATGCCCGTGCGTTGCAACAGGTGAAGTCTATTTTAATCTTATTATTGTTATATGGTTTAGTTAAGATGAAATTCACTGTGGGAGTTCGCTTGGATATATATATAGAAAATCATGAGCTGCAGTTAAGAGTCAGATCGTCTCAAGTTAGCATGTGAGTTTTTTTAAACAGATTTCTTATATGATTCCTTCTGTATTACCAAAAGTGAGCGATCTTAAAAACCGACTCAAATACGGATATGTATTTTCAAAAGCAAATAAACTTAAAAACCGACTCATACACGGATGACGTACAAAATACCGACAAAAACATCTTCAATTTTTATAATAGTTGAGATAGAGATAGAAAAGAGATATAGATTAAAACCAAAACATAAAATTAAAACCAACTCAAACATAGATGACGAACCGCAGAAATATCTTTAATTTTTATAACCGACTCAAACACGGATGATGGACCGCGGAAACATCTTCAATTTTTATAATAGTACAGACTAGGAAAATGTCCGTGCGTTGCAACGGGTAAAAACGTTTTTGATAGCTATACATTATACTCGTTTGGTTTTGGACCGAAAGCTCATTCATTCATTCCTTTCCAGCCCGATCCCGGTTCGCTACCTCACTACGCTCGGCCTTTCACTCTTCGGGCCAGCCCAAACGTGGAGTTGTAGGTCCAACTCGCACAACCCATTGTCGTCTTCAACCTTCGGAAGATAGTCCCTTCCTCGTACGATGTCGAGCTGATCCTCCCCATTAAATCTAGTCGAATCTTTCTCGATCTTCCAAAATTGGTTTAGGGTTTTTTATCTACTTGATTTCCTCTTTCCTTTTTTTTTATCAAAATCGGACCGCAAAACTCGGATAAAAATGGCGATGGATAGATGGAGATTAAATCCATTCAATTAAAGCCTTGGAAAGGAAGATCAAGCGGAAAATGATGAGGTAGCAGCGGGGAATCGATTTTTCAGTCTGAATCGGCTGAAGATGATCGGATCAAGGACAGCCGATACAGCCGATGGGGTTGATACAGCCGATTCCAGTGGCGATGGCTTTGGGGCTGTTTCTAGAATCTATCAACATGCTTCACAAGGATTGCCACGATGGAGATAAAGCTCTCGGAAAGGCAATTGTATCTATTAATTAGGATATTTTTATAATTTCCTTAGAGATATGTTTGGGCAAAAGTCTGCCGCAAAGAGTTATGGTATCTTAGAATTTGTTAGATATAAGAGTCGTGTCCGGCAAGGACATATTTTGTAATCTCGGGTATAAATAGGACCCGAACCCATGTAATCAATTAACACACGTTCAATAACAATTTCGGCGCATCGCCACCCTGTTTACTTTCGTTCTATTTCGACGAGTTCTTACTTTCGGATTGAGCTGCATCGATTCGATCTTCAACTAGATGTAAACTTATCATGGCGGCTTGCGTTCTCAGGATTAGTGCTTCCATCTTTATGACACTCTAATCATGTTTATGTAATTCGTCGAGTTATCATATACACGTTACAGTCTTTGTTAGTTGCGTTATATAACTTGTTATCGGGTAGTTCTTATTGTCAGGAAGTGACCGATAGTGTTATGTTTGGTTATTAAGTTAGATTATATCGTGTATCCACCATCACTTAGAGGTTTTCATCATCTTGTTTAGATCCCACGATTATCTTTATGCTTAATGCTGCATCAGTTGAGTTCAATCTGTTGAGTTTTACTTATAATTGTGATATCTGGCTTGTTTTATGATTATCGAGAGAGATAGTATCGGGGTTTCAACCGATCTTACTTGATTTAGCTACTTTATATCTCATATGCTTAATTAATATGCTAGATATGCCCTTTATATTAAGATCTTATTGCATTAAGTTATATTAGGCTTCTTGTTTCAATATTCTGTTTGTCTTGATATTTTAATATAGAGTGGTATCGGAGTATTAGCCGATACATGCTAGATCTATTTGATCAGCTATGCTATAAACATCTATATAATCAGTACTTTACTTTATATTTCGACTTAAGTGATTTATACTATCTCGGCATGGCGACCAATTTATCCCAATCATTTAGTTTAAATATGTATTGAAGTAAGGATTATATGTTGTCAATATCTATAGCCGATCGAGTAGATTTAGTCTTATCTTATTTACTCATGACTACCGATCGATTCAAATATGACATCGGCTTGAAGATAAATGATATGTCATCGGCGACTAGTCGATCGGTTATCGTTTATGGATTTAACCGTTGTTTTTCTTGTCTTTCTTTCTTGCTGATTGTAGGATCAAATCAATTGGCACGTTCACGAACCTAAAGGCAAGATTTTGGACCTGCACTGAAGTTAAGTAGATCTTCCAGGCCAGTGTGTGTTTTTCACATCAACACGCTTTTGGCACGCCCAGTGGGACCGAGTTGCGACAACTTTTTCTCATGGCAGAAAAACAATCACCGGCATCGACAGGCAAGGCTCCAAACCCTCCATGGTCCAAGCCTCCAAATCCTCCGGGGACCAAGCATCCAAAACCTCCAAGGACTACTCAACCATCATCTGAAGTCGAGACTGCGAACATTGTCCCATATAGATAAGTTATCACCAGAACAGAAGAAGCAGTTTGAGCAAGTGATGAAGAGCGCTCAGGAGCAATTCATGAACTCATTCAATGAAATCCGCCAGGGAACAGTCATTCAGAAGTATAAGGTGAAGGTGGTTGCTGCCGATGAACCTGGAACAAGCTCATCCCAAGGTGATAACACCAAGGGGACAAAAAGTGCTGCGGATGGCTCAGGTAATAAAGGTGAGGGACTTCAAGATGGTACAGTCGAGGATGTTGATGAAGATGATGATGAGGAGCAAGAGGAGCCTTTGAGGTGCAACAATTTCCAAGACCAGGTTGACTATGCTGTTCAACATGCCTTGATCAACCAATCAGGGGTGCTTGTCAATACTTTAACAAATATGATTAAATCTGTGGTTGATGGCACGATAGCTGAGCATCAAAACACTTGGCCAGTCTTTCTACCAGGTGGCGTCTTCCCACCATACAGGAATTTGGTGACAGGCAACCAGCAACATACTACCAATGCACCATCGGTTTAGCCGATGGCAGCGGTTTCGTCTCCAGCACCAGTTGCACCATTCTCAGCACAAAGGCAGGTGGTTAATCCTCAAGTCTTGACCGGGAAGCAACCACAACATGTTGGCAGAACGCCAATCGGCTAACTCAGGAGCAGATTGCTGCGATGTTCGCGCCAACTCAGCCGACTATCGAGCCAGTACAGTCGACACCGACCAAGCAGCAGGTTGTACAGCCGATTAGGCAGCAGACGGTGCAGCAGATACCAACAGGACAGAGAACACCTACTGCTTAGCAAAATCTACCTGTTGGAGCCCAGTTTGCACCTGAACAGCATATGTATATTGTGCAACAGCCTCCTCAGAATTATCTTGGTGGTAATTTCAATCTCCAGTATCCACCTCAGTCACCTCAGATCCAATATCAAATAGGGGGATCACCTCAGCCCCAGTTTGTTCCCCAGCTCAATCAGTTTGATCCGATACAGCAGCAGATGCAAGGAGTACCCCAGCAGAAGCCTTGGGCAGACATGATTGCAGATGTGATGAGGGAGCAGTTTGGGCTTAAGCCAAAAGACACTGGAAATTTGTATCGGCATCCTTATCCTGAGTGGTTTGAAAGGATTCCACTGCCTAACCGATACAAGGTCCCAGATTTCTCAAAATTTTCAGGACAAGACAATGTTTCAACTTATAAGCATGTCAGCCGATTTTTGGCTCAATGTAGAGAGGCATCGGCTGATGATGCTTTAAGGGTTAGATTGTTCCCTTTGTCCTTGTCTGGATCGGCATTTACGTGGTTTTCTTCGCTACCTTATAATTCTGTTAATAGTTGGGCCGATTTGGAGAAACAGTTTCATAGCTACTTTTACAGTGGAATTCATGAGATGAAGCTTTCTGACTTGACAGCAATTAGACAAAGGCATGATGAAACTGTACAAGATTACATTCAAAGATTCAGAGAGATGAGGAATAGGTGCTACAGTTTGGCTTTGACCGATTCTCAGTTAGCCGATCTGGCTTTTCAGGGTTTGATAGCTCCGATCAAGGAGAAGTTTTCGTCCCAAGACTTTGAGAGCTTGTCCCATCTTGCACAAAAGGTGACCCTGCATGAGCAAAGGTTCGCGGAGGCTAAGAAGAATTTCAAGAAGGTCAATCATGTGTATCCTTATATGTATGACTCTGAAGAAGAAGATGACTCCGAGGTAGCAGCAGCCGAGTAGGCCCGAAGCAAAAGGATTATAGCATGTCCATGGGT